ACAAATTTAAAAACACGTAGGACTGCGTGGCCGTGAAGTCGGCATTCACTCTGTCTGTTTAGCTCAAGCGAATTGCAATTGCGGAGTGTCATGAACTACAAAAGAGTGACTTGAGAAGTATACATCTGTACAAGTCTCTTGCCTGGAGACAGCTGGTTACGAAAGCAGAACAGCGCACACAAACAAACGGATCTTCGGTTCAAGACTCAACTGAAAAAGATTGCCCACTTTTTCAGTTACCTCTCCAGATTGGAAAGCATATTGCACATAAAGAGTAGAGCTTAGCTCCACTTGATGCCAGCCATTGGCATATTGCGGCTGCAGGGGTCATTCGGCTCTTTTTGAGTATCTTCTCATGAGAGAAGTGTCTCATTTGCTTTTTGGGCAAATGTTTCCAAGAGAAGTCCACATCTTCTATAAAAAAGCTGACTGAAGGACCTTCGTAAGGGAGAAGCATTCAGTTGAAAAGTCGTAAACGAAACACAATTAGTCGACCACCTCAGTGTCATGATCCCAACTGCTATCACGGGTCCTTCTGCCGCTCCAACGGCAGGGAGTGCCACCGAAGATGACGACAGGTTGTAGACGAGTGATAGGATCGGGTCAAGCTGGAGGAGGTCGTGGTGTTGGTCCATAGACCGGCTGTTCCGACCCGGAGTCAGAATCCAGTCAGTGTTTTCCTTTGCCATTGGAGGACTTGCCTCCTTTGTCTTTGCTCTTGGGATGACTCTTTGCCCTTGTAGGACTTGCCTCTCCTTTGCCGCCTTTGCCAGAAGTAGCTTTCCCACCAGGAGGATGTGCGGGTTCGGCTGGACGTTGCGAACCAGAAGCAGTGGCACCAAGCAAAGCTTCCCAAACTGAGAACCAGAGCCGTGTACTTCGTTCTGCTCGTGTAGATAGGAACTGGCCCATCCTCGGCAGAACCAATGGGATTGGGCATCCTCTCATAAGGGAGAGGTCCCCGAGTTCCTCCTCGTCCACGCCGGCTGCCAGGAAGTAGTGTCATTCATGAGTTCTTCCCGGCTGGCAGAACGTCTGGCTCTGTTGAGTTCTCGAACCCTTTCGAGAAGAGTATGGTTAACTTCCATTGCTTCCTAGGGGCTCGGGACGCCTTTGCCATTTCGCGATCATGCAATGTTCTCCGGTAATCGCCAGACCTGAAAATGACATCGGGGCGAGTTGATCGACGGCTGTAGATCGGAGCCATCTTGCACATAGAATCCGAAAGGTCTTCTTCTGCGAGGTTGTACTTCACATGTGGTTGTGAAGAAGGACCTTTACGAAGAAACCCATGTGCTGAACTTTGAAGGAGCCGAGCTCGTCGATGCGAATGCCATCGTGATACAAGCCTGTTTGAGCGTATCCGTGCTGCTGATCGGCGAGCTTCATGAGGGGACTCGTGCGCTCGATCAGGTGGTGGATACGGGCAAAGTCCTTGTATTCAACGGTGTCAACCAGGCCTTCTTTTTCCTTTGCCCCAGCAATGTTCTCAAAGGCCTTCTCGTTGTTGGCCTCTGCTTCTGCTGTGGCTTTGGCAGAGGTGGTGAGCCTCCCATTGCCTCATCTGCGTCGTGTCCATCGGCGTCACCGGCATCATCCATGTGCACGTGTTGGGTTCCCGATACCTCTTCATGAGAAGAGCTTTCGGGATGTTCGACCTTGGCTCCGGATACCTCTCCAGGCAGACAGCATTCCGGTGCATCGGTCTCCATTGGTGCACTTGCGGGTTCTTGTTTTGCTGCACCCGCCGTCTCTCCAGGGGGAGATTGCGCTGGGGCATCATTTGAACTGCCGGCTGCATTCATGGGCTCGTCGGCCCTTCAATGGTTGGCCCAGGAAGTTTCTCAAGGAACTCTTCAACTGCGAAGTCTTCATAAGGCCTGGAGTAGAGCTCTTCGATGTCCCGGGCGCGATTCGCCTTGAGGTTCTCGTAAGCAATCAGGTCAGCATGCGCCTTCTTCCCAAACTCGGAAGAAAACTTATCTGCCTGATCTCCTTGAGCTGCCTGGCGAGCGCGCCCAACACATAATTCGCATGAGAAGGTTCACGCAAGGAGGTGTCGAGGACAGTGTACCCCTCCGGTGTGGTGATCTTGTACTTGCGCCGAACGTCGAGGTCTGAAGCGTGCTTCTGAATGTAGGCGAAAAAGTCCGGGCCATAGGCTGTGGAGACTGCAGACACCAGCGTAGAGAAGTCCGTCCTGATATTCTTGATTTCCATGTATACATCCCTTTCAAAGCAGAAAGCATTGTATACAGCGAGCTTCGCGGCATAATCAGGATCATCCTTCTTAGGCATAGTGTCGCGAGGATCTTCGTCCGGTGGCATACGAAACCCGACCTCAGATGCCAAAGGTGCGAACTCTCTGTGTTGAGCTTCATTGAGACGGTCAAGAATGGTGGAAACATCGTTCTGGAAGCCCCTGTCGAAGGGAGACTTATTGGCCGTTGGTACAGGCCTTGCTCTTGCCGTTCAGCTCAACAAGCAGGTTGCCTTGCATTTTCCCCAATTCGAATGCCCTGAGGGAAGAAGTGGACTCCGTATCCGCTGAGCGGATGACGACCCCACGAAGCCCAATGATACTCGGCCCCCAGAAGCTTCCGCGTGTCGGTCGTCAGGCTGTTGAACGGTGTCGTCTTGACCAGTGCGTCCCCGTAGGGAGCGTACATTTTGTTCCCTGTCGAATCCACGCGGTGAAGCAATCCGTGCCGAAAGAGGTGCCACGGATTGTATCGAGCTTTCTGAGGGATCTCCTTGAGCTCTTCCTCCTGTTGGAGACCGGTAGCGGCGTACCGAGTAGTACCCTCTTCAGCGGTGGACTTTAAAGCTGCCTCTTTGATTTCCTCCTCACGGATCAGGCGGCGAAGGGCTTCCTCGTCAACAACAGGTACCTCTCCAGAGGGAGAGCCTGCTGCAGGTGGAGGTCGGCAGCCGAAGCTACGTTTGCCTTCTTCTTAGGCATGCGGACCTCTCTGATGCTGGTGCCTCTCCAGGTGCAGAGCTTCCCGCAGCCGAGGCAGAAGATGCTGCTGCTGGGGTTGCCTCGTCATATGAGGAGCTTACCCCTGCTTCGCTCTGCTTCTGCTCGTGCTTGAGGCCAGCAGGGTCCTTCTCGTGAGGGGGACGGTAGTGGAACGTCAGGTACATCAGCACGATGTCGTTGTACGACAGGACAACTCCGTTATCCGTCAGGTAGAGCTCGTGTCCATGGTTGAAAAACGCGCCGACATCCATCGCATAGAAGATGTTGCTGCAGTACCTGACCACCGTCCCTGGACTGGGAGATTCAGAACCACCGGCGTACGCGAAGTGAATCGCCAGGCGGTGCTTCTGCCAGCCCTGCCTCGTTGCCAGCAGCGAGAGTCCATTCTCCTCATGGAATCGTCTTTCTTTTTCTCAGATGCATGAAAAATGCATCCGAACTGTTGACCGCGCTGCAAGGTCAACCGCTCCCCACGCAACCGCTCCCGACGAGCCGCTTCGGACACCTGTTCAGGGAGACGAGAGTGCCCCTGTATTGCGCCGATCTCAATGCTGAAATCCCACGCAATGAAATGAGCGACCCAGGTCTGAAAGCGCCATGAAGGCGAAAATCTTCCTCGGCGGAGGCCTCCATATATGTTCCCGGACGAAGTCTCTGGTTGTGTCGCAACAGGCCAGACAAAGCCTTGGAAGACTTGACTGCCCAGCCGTTCTGGCGACTACGCCTTTTGGAGATCTCCTCGATGTCTCCGGAGACTTCCAGTGGATCCTCCTTGGAGAGGCAACCAAGACAGCAGCAAAGCAACTCATACTTCCTAACACGTGACAGAAATGCCAACTCGCCTTCGACAAGGACAGCCATCTCCCCAAATGGGAAGTACGCTGTGACGTCCTGTTGCCCCTCGTGCTGCGGGACGCTCTCTGGCTTGAGCTTGATCGTGGCCGCTGTGGCTGTGACACTGCATGGCCATCTGCGATCACCAGTTTCTCTGTAGAGTACGTTGCCGCCACCTCCGAGAGTTCGGAGCGCACGGCGTTGCACCCAGGACAGGCTCTCCAGGTATTTCTTGTGCGGGGGAACGCCAGTTGTCAGATCCACACGAATGTGGCATCCCATGTTAGGCGTCCAGTACATCTGCACGGTTCCAGGAGGTACCTCTCCAGAGGGAGAGCTTCCTCCGAAAGGAGCACCGGATCCTGGAGCGTCCGTAGCCATAGCTGGGACGTAAGTGGAAGTGTGGGCAACTTACACACTAGAGGTTTGAACAGCAATGCAGGGACAAATTTACAAATTAACTAAACAGAAGCCAACAACTCTTCAAGCAAGAACGACATGTGCACTGAATTGCGCTGACAGCTCACACTCACAGCCGCTCCTGCATGAACATGACATGTTGCACTGAAGCAAGAACTGCAAACTCCTTACGAAGCCACGAGTTCATCAATGCCTTGTGCTCAATCATGGTGCGAAAAGGAGGATGTGAGTCGATTTCCTTCAACCACCTAGTTTGAACAGAGTTCAGGAGGTTTCTGGGATTAGC